CCAATGGGAAAAATGTTGAACGCATTTTTGGCCATCCATGGCAGATGTAAATTTATCATTTTTCTGCGCGGACAAACTCCGAGTTTATCCGCGCCGACATTGATACTTTCACTGATGGAACACTTTCAAGGGAAGGCAAAAAACACTGTAAAACACAGTATAAAATCAACATTTTCCATATCCATACAATTAAATTGCAATTGGCTTCCGGGGAACCCCCAGCTTTCGCCCTATGTATATATATATATATGTATACACATGTACACATACTGTATGGATTACCAGTGTATATGTTACATATGTATTAGGATTTCCTATCTACACATTTGCCTAGTGTATCAGTTATATGTACATTACATATGCACTATGTATGTGCCCGAAAATCATACGTGTGAAGATTGGCTATATCTTCGTGCAGGTAATGGTAGGGCTTTCTGTTCGTTGACTTGACCCTGGAAACCATCAGGCTTGTCCACCTGGAACCTTCTCACAGAAACTCGAAGACAGCATTGGCACGGGCGAGACCTACATCTGCGTACCCTGTGGCCTTGGAACTTCGCAGCCCTCAGGAGCTGCACTGAGCTGCACACCCTGCAAAGTAGGCAGGGGCTGAGGGGCCAGGAGTTGATGTTGTGCGGTTTTGGCATTGACCTTGACTCGTGACCTTCAAGACCAAGTGGCCGGTATCATTCTGAGTTCCAATACCATAACACATTTACCCTATGCTGGTTGAAGCCAGGCGGATATCAGGATGAAAATCGCAGCACGGAGTGCAAGCGTTGCCCCTTCCGCACCTACCAGGACCGTTCCCACTTTTCTTGGTGCAATCAGGCTGAAACAACGACTACTCTGAATGATAACACGCCACAAAGTGACAGAATTTCTGGTCCTTGTTGCCGTTTGGAGTTATGGCATCAACCTATTTATTTGCTGTGCTGTTTTGTGCCCTATGTCCTGATCTTGTTCAGTTGCCATCTCAACACTGGTCGATAAGTGCAAAGCAGCTGCCACTGTTTCTTTGTTTGCTACCCCAGCTCGGCTAGCGGGCATCGTCTTGGTGTGACCTAATCGAGGTTCTGCTTGTAAATCAAACATACTGTTTAGTCACATTGGTTTAGACCACCTGATATGGTTTGCATCCATCTTCCCACTTCAGAAAATGTATACCTTACGTTGTATCAGAGCACAATCCATTGTGTTTTGCGATGATCCGCATAACTCACTGAGAACACTCGATCACAAACTGACAAGATTTAGATCGTCTATGTAAGCTATTTCCAATATCATTGAACATGGTTAGTCCTGTAGCTCGTATCACTCCGCTCCTGATCAGGATGAGGAAGGTCAAGTGGCGTGCAAAAGTTGCCCCGCCTCCACCAACACTTTGGGGTTGGGAACTTGGCAGCAAGGTGCACAAAGGCCAGTGGTGAAACAGAGCTGCAGGATGCCGCACATTTGGGCAAGTTTGATGGGTTAGGTTAGGATAGTGGATGATTGTGGCATTTTTTATTGGTCCCTTGTTTTCGCTTGCTCTCAGCCATTGCAAGGATCCATCGCACCAAGCGATTGCGGCTGTTTGGAGGACCAAATTGACATGGACCGTTCAGGCAGGTTTGCTTCAGCTGTCATTTACTTGGAATGTTTGCTTTTAAGCCTTTGAGTTGACCACTGTTCCAAGATCATACAACCTGTCCATGAGTCATAGTTAATTATCCTCAACATGGTTTTGTTGTTTCAATCGGAAGATGACCGTTCCGTTCAACGTGGGCTATTTGGTACCATAATGTTGACCCAGGCTAGTCAGGCTGAGGAATTGAACCAAGAGTCAAACATGGATTCAATTGGAAAGGGCTTCTTGGCACTTGCAATTGACACCCATAAATAAATAAATAGTTAAGTAAATAAACACGTAAATAGATAAATATATCATAGATACGTTGATGTACTTGTATATGCGCATCCTTATGCATGTAGTATGTATGCGTATATTCACGCATACGTGTTATATGTATATACATGTATATAAAGGTGAATGTCTATTTACCCCAGCCCCTGCGACCCACCCTCCCTCCCACGTACTGTCATACCCCCTCCCGCCTCCCCCTAGCATGATCGTGATGGTTGGGTTATTTTCCCTTTGCCCTTGATGTGTCCAGAGGTGGGTCATGAAATCAATCATACAAACAAAGCATCTTAGCAATACAAAGATGGTAATCGGGTAGCATGGTGGGAGTATCTTAGTAACCAAAAAATGCCCAGGGATAGTGAAAAGATGCAATATTGGTATTACAGAAGCAGCATATCGGGAGTGTCTAGGTAATAAGCACTTGTGATACCCGCAACTTTCCATTATCGAATGAGTTGTATGCGGGTAGTTTGTATGCAGTACAAAATCAACACATATATGGATAGTGTGGAGGCCGTATGTAGCTTTTATATTTAGAGTGCTGAACACACGCATGAATATATATATATATGTATATACACATGTACATATACGTCACACATACATGAAGATACATATGTACATGTACATATGAAAAGTACATAGACAGCACAAAATACGGTGCCAAAGTAGTTTACTCAGTAGGAGTAGCAGTACCAGCAGTACTAGTAGCACTAGCAGTTGCACTAGTACTAGCACTAGCAGTAGGTTAACGCCTAGCAGTAGCAGTAGGAGGAGGAGGAGCAGTAGTAGTGGTAGTGGTAGTGGTACTGGTACTGGTAGTAGTCGTCGTCGTCGTCGTCATCGGCGTCGTCGTCGTCGTCGTCGTCGTAGTAGTTGTAGTCACACTCGTAGTCGTAGTTGTAGTAGTCGTGGTGGGAGTAGATATATAGGTAGGAAGTAGACGCTAGAGCTTAGAAATACTGCAAATGGCATGCAAATAAAGCTTCAGCACAGAAATGCCGAAAATGCTGCAAAAGGCAGATAAACATCACGTTTTTGGGAGCTGTGGGTAAAAACCTGCTGCTTTGCAGAAGGCCTGGTAAGGTAGTTCAAATTTCCAGGTGTAGAGTTGGTGCTTCTGAAGCTTGGTGAGCGGTTGATGTATGTTTTATATGCCACATCAACTGGAGAAGTCCAATGGCTACATCCCACGATATGACCTGACAAGGCCAAGTTGGCCATGCCGGTTGATATGGCCGCTGTCAAACAGCAGTGTTCAACGGGGGCTTTTGATGCCCAACAGCTCGATTCTGCACCAGCTCCATGAAAGGATAAAAAAAAGGTACATGAGGGCGATTAAACTAAACTTTTGAAAAAGTATTCATATCAGGGTATTTCACGATTGAGAGTATCATCGTTGTGGAAAACCCGGACCGTCCACATTGGATAGAATGTGGGTATGTGGCCTTGGGATGTGAACCACTGTCCACTTCGGGTGATACGTGTTATTGCCCCATAGACATTTTTCACTGCTCATCTTGCCAGTAATTTTTCCAAACAACGAAATCATCTTGTCGGGCTTTGCCAGACAGCTTCGAGTGCGTCGCCTGCATGGAGGGAATGAAATGCCCAGCTCTATCCCAGTTGGCTGCATGGCTGAATTTTGAAAACTCATGATTTACATGAATAACTGATGCTTGATTTCAAGCCAACCCGCGCAATCATTTTAAAAAGCAACATTTTTTTAAAGAACTTGATAAGGTAGCGTTAATGCTTGAAAGTTGCTGATTGATGTGTGGATGAACATCTGAAGGTAAAGTGGCGGCTGGTGTTTTTTTTACTTACGCTTACGCTTTTGGATTTTCTTGTCCTGGGGGATGAGGCCTTTGCTAAAAGCAACACTTTTTGTCCTGGGGGGGGAAGCCAAAAACCGGATGAAGCGCAGGTGCATTTCGCTCAGAGAGAAACGCATCGTTGGCCACAGCATGGCAAAGGTGTTGCCACATAGTTGTCGAGTAAAACTGTTGGATATTGAGCGTTCCTGGCTGGCAATCGTCTTTTGAACAATGCAGCTACTCACGCCAAGCGACCTAGGTACTCAGGAGCGGTCTGGGGTCATAACATAGCCCTTCTTCTGGGTACCGATCTCTCGTTTGTTAGCTAAGGTCGATTTGGAGAACGGAACCAGCGCCAACGGAGAGTTATTCACTCCGATGATCATGGAGGGCTTCTACACCACGAAGGACTCTCCCACAGAGGCGTCAACCCTGGCCGAACAACCTGAGAGCTTTACCATTCGGTATGGGTATTTCCTAGAATAGTGGTACCCAAGAATCACCAAACATGGTCTAGTTTAGTAGGTAAACCCTTGGTTTGGGGTACCACGATTTTAGGAAACACCCAGTATAGTTTCTTGCTGTCACTATGATTGGTTGCAAGGCCATACTTAGAGGGTTTATCAGCAGCAAAGCGGTCAGCAGCGGGTTCTGCCTTGATGAAACTCGCATCCACACGTTCTGGATTGATGAGTTTTTAGAGGAGTAGCTGGGGAAAAACAATTAAAAAGGGATGGCATCGATTGAGAAATCAACCGGGAGGGCCTTCCACAGCTCTTGAATGCCAAGGGTTCAGATAATATCTGAAATGGGCGTATCATTACTCATTACTCATGTGGACAATCTGCAATGGGTGTATCAACCCCTAGTGATGGCTTTGTGACCTTGATGTAAGACATGTATATAATTCATCTTCATGATGAGCAGGATTTACGCAAGCTGAACGGTACGTTGAGATGTGCTGACCCAACACGGATGTTGCACTTCTGCAATTCCACTGAATGGGCGAAGATCCGAGCGATCATCAAGTAGTGTTCCTTTGGGTATTCCCCCCAGTTTGGGTCTTCCCAACATCGAATTTGAAACTTTGGTAGGTCTTCCGGTGCCGCAGCACGCGAACTTGCCCTGGTGGAACCCCTGGTACCTGTGGCGGTGGGCTGATTGGTACTCCGTGCTCGCAATGCCCAGCAGGTGCGACCTTGGCTGATCCTTAGAACAGATCCATTTGCTCCTAAGATCATTGCAATGGGAATTCCAGGATCCTAAAATGGAGGTAC